TTTCCCTCATTTTGCCTTCCACTCTAACCCTATCTTTTACTGCTCTCGATGGTAATCTCATATTTTAAGACAATACTCCTATTCTGTTGTTTTGTTCTTTTCTAGCCTACCTAGATTTCCTTTCCTTAAGAAAATACACAGGCCGGCGCCGCGGCTCAATAGGCTAATCCTCCACCTGTGGCGCCGGCACACCGGGTTCTAGTCCTGGTCGGGGCGCCGGATTCTGTCCCGGTTGCCCCTCTTCCAGGCCAGCTCTCTGCTGTGGCCAGGGAGTGCAGTGGAGGATGGCCCAAGTGCTTGGGCCCTGCACCCCATGGGAGACCAGGAGAAGCACCTGGCTCCTGCCATCAGATCAGCGCGGTGCGCCGGCCGCAGTGTGCCGGCTGCGGCGGCCATTGGAGGGTGAACCAACGGCAAAGGAAGACCTTTCTCTCTGTCTCTCTCTCTCTCTCACTGTCCACTCTGCCTGTCCAAAAAAAATAAAATTAAAATTAAAAAAAAACTTTAAAAAAAAAAGAAAAAATAAAATACACAGGACAGGCAAAATTCCCAAACAGTAGAGCAGCAGTCTCCCTGGAGACGGTGCCCAGCAAAATCCTGAGAGTCACAATCCCCACCACCACAATCCCAAAAGTTGAAATCCTAAAAGATCGTAGTCCTCCAAATCACAATCCTGGAAGCCTAAAATGGAAATGCTGTGGATCAACATCCTGGAGACGGCGATTTCCGTAAAAAAGAAACACTGCAGGAGGGGTCTTCTAATGCAATCCTCCAGGCACTGCCCGTAAATACCCACGTACTTTTATCCCAGTGAATTCTAACGCATTAATTCATATCAGTGCTTTCTTCCTCTTCTAATTCTTTTCAACTTAATACTCATTTATCTATTTTTTGAAATAACATTTTTAATTTATGTTACAGTCAAAGGCTTAGTGGCCCCACTAAACAGAATTCAACAAATACAAAGGTAAACAGACCCTAGTCCAGCAGGACAACAGGCAGGGGCTATAAACAATAATCAAATGAAAAAATATTCAACTTCACTCATATAAAGTAGATTCTAACACAGTCACAAAATCACTAAAACTGTAATAGTATATGACTCCTATACATTTGATTGACTAACATTTATCAGCTTTATACCACACAGGTGACTGGCTACAGTGATGGAGCATGAGTCAGCCCCCTTGTGTCCGTCTGAACCCAAGCTTTCTCTTTTCCCTTTCCCCAGTCTAGATCCATCACTATTCTTGGTATTTCTACTAATCCTTTCTGCTCACTGAAGCAAGATACTTAAACTCTGGTTTTAGTTTGATACACCGTGGGGAGGTTGTTAGTTGGTTGAGCTTGGACTTGAAGCGGTAGAACTTTGTTAGAAATACAGGGAAGAGTAGAATACTACTAAAGGGGGACACTCCAGGGTGGTGACAAATGATGGCATGCATAAGAGAGGGGTAATCAGCCCAAAGTAGGAGGATAGTTCAAAATATCTGTGGAAACGGAATTAAACTATAACTTTGTTTTGTTGCAAAACATTTTGAAATCCATGCAGAGCTTTTTAAAAATGCATATTTCCCATGAGCTTTTTAAAGAACCTTTGCGTGTCTGAGTTTCAACCATTTTTTGTGCTAAAGTAAACTTATCTCTGAATTCCATCTCCAGTCAAGATTCTGTAGTATCCTCATACACACGACCCCTACCCTCAGGTACAGAACCTAGAGCGGAAGTGAAAGTTTCCCGGTGAATTGTTGAGGGCATTGGGCGTGAACACAGCACATTAAGGAAATAACAAGGACTAGGTTAGGGCAAGTCAACCCCGGCGGCTCGCAAAAGCAAGCCCTATCCCTAATACAGTCTCATTAGTAAACACAAGAAGCCCAAAGCACTTTGCATTGAGAAAGACTTTCCCAGTTCAATGAGACACATTTTAAAATGCCTCAAACTTTTTAGTTACTTTCATTGTTTTGGAAACCAGATAGAAAGTGCTATTTTTAAATGAAGTCCTGTCTGATGTGCATTTGTATATGGAGAGGCTGCAAGGAAAAAAAAACTATATTTTGCCCATCTTCAGTGTGATCACTTAATTAAAAGAAATCATCTCGTTAAAACTTCAACTGTCCTCTTGCTGCATACCAGGTTAAATTTTAGGCAACTCATCAGAGTATTTCTTAGGATGTGTCAGTATGCTGGGAACTTCTAAATGGCATAGTGCAATGACTACCCAGCAAATCTCTATGGGATAAGTATTCTCACTATGATCCGGGGTAACCATAGTAGTCATTCTGTGCATGTTTCAGCAACATTGTCTCAACGCATCCTTACAATAGCCTGGATAGACAGGCTCTGTTGCCCATTGTGCGGATGAGAAGGTTGAGGATGATGGTTGGGAGTGTTATAAATTTACCCCACCTATTGGTTAGTTGGGCCAGGGTTCTCTTCTCAACCCAGTCATTTATCTTAATGAGTAAATGTGGAATCCAAAGGACAGCTCCACCCTGCCAGCCACTAATCCAACTCCCTTTGCTTTGCCCCACCCTGAATTGCTGGTGGTCGGATCCTCCCTCGGTGGGTAAGGATATGTCACTATGCCTTCTAGTCTAGGAACAGTTGAACTGCCACAGCTGAATTTATCCTGAGTGTGCTTCTTCTTCTTCTCCTTTTTTTTTTTTTTTTTATTTTTGACAGGCAGAGTGGACAGTGAGAGAGAGACAGAGAGAAAGGTCTTCCTTTTGCCATTGGTTCACCCTCCAATGGCCGCCGTGGCCGGCATGCTGCAGCCGGCGCACCGCGCTGATCTGAAGCCAGGAGCCAGGTGCTTCTCCTGGTCTCCCATGGGGTGCAGGGCCCAAGCACCTGGGTCATCCTCCACTGCACTCCCGGGCCACAGCAGAGAGCTGGCCTGGAAGAGGAGCAACCGGGACAGAATCTGGCGCCCCAACCGAGACTAGAACCCGTGTGCCAGCGCCACAGGTGGAGGATTAGCCTATTGAGCCGCGGCACCGGCCCTGAGTGTGCTTTTTAACCCTTCCTGCTGAAGACAGCCATGATGGCCAAATCCACTTCTGACTGCATTCTGCTGCCCAGGAATCTTCATGAAAATGCTAGAAGAAAAGGCAGATTTGAGGCTGGTGTCATGGCGCAGTAGGTTAATCCTCCGCCTGCGGCGCTGGCATCCCATATGGGTGCCGGTTCTAGTCCCAGCTGCTCCTCTTCCAATCTAGCTCTCTGCTATGGCCTGGGAAAGCAGTGGAAGATGGCCCAAGTCCTTGGGCCCCTGCACCCCTGTGGGAGACCAGCAGGAGGCACCTAGCTCCTGGCTCCTGGCTCCTGGCTTCCGATGGGTGCAGTTCTGGCCGTTGCGGCCACTTAGGGAGTGAACCAATGGAAGGAAGACTTTTCTCTCAGTCTCTTCCTCTCACTGTCTGTAACTCTACCTCTCAAATAAATAAATACAAATCTTAAAAAAAAAAAAAGGAGCGTTAAAAACCACCCCAAATAATAAAGGCAGACAAGGACTGTCTCTGCCCAAGTGTATTTTCTAAAATTGCAGAGTTTTTAAGTTCTCAGAATACAAAGAAATCTTAGAGGCCACCCAGCCTGTTTCTTCCTTTCCCCACGGAGCAAGGCTCCTCTTTCCAACATTGCTGGTCAAAGGTAGAAAGCACGCACCTGAGTACTTGCCCAGGTTCTTTATTGCATGGGGTGGAATTCTGCTTCTTACATGTAATTTCTATCCAAGAGTCCTTATTTCTCTCTGAACTCACAGAAATCTGCTTCCATTTTAAACACATTGATTTATTTAATCAACAATATCTGTTGAACTCCCACTGGGAGGTTAAAATGGTGGAGATAGCTGGACAAATCTTCCCAAAAGCCTTAAAGCAGGAGGGAGAGAATAAAGAATGGGGAAACATTAAGTCTAACTGGAAAAGAGATTGTTGTAGAAATGTGTAGGAGCAACCACACTGAAATTTCTTGTGTCTTACAGCAATAACTTGCTTGGGATGACAGAGACATATTTAAAAGAAATAGGAGCCAGCTTGAGGGGACAACCTCTGGCCAAATCAGGGGCTACTTGATCATAAAAATAAATGTTTCTAGAAAGGGATTCTAATCCATAAAATGAAATGAAAATCAATGAGTCAGTTCTGTTACATATTGGGGGATAAACGCCTAAGTAAATGCTGGGGTAGCTCTTTCTTATAGATAAAATGCCATTAATAAATACAGAAGAAATGATGGACTTTGCAAATTATCAATGGAAGATAAAACTATTGGGTAAAAGTTTATAGGAAATAGGATATTTATTTAACTTCTCACAAGACGCTTATTGATAATACAAGGCAGACGTCTCAACTTTGTAGCGGAGAACTTTAGTAATGCTAAATTGATCAAATCATTGCAGATACTGGTGCAACGTGATATCATGGACCCCTTGGCCTATGATGCACTGAGAACACAGCATCACCTTTTGGAGTTCCTGCCAGAATTACTCACCAAATACATTTACGAGGCAAACACAAGTTGAGGGACAATCTACTACATAACTAGCTTAACTAGCTTGCTCCCTTTTTTTTTTTTTTTTTTACAGTACTAGTGATGTTTAAATAACACACCAGATTATACATTGCAGCATAATTAAAACTACACACACATTCTTGGTACATGCTGGTATATAGGATCTCACACACACGTTAGCTACCATGCCCTCACACAGGTAGTTGCACACTCTCACGCACACAGATACATTTATCACCAGCAGTCATACTGCATTCATTTCCACTCACAGTTTCTGAAGGCTCTATATAAGGTAGATTGCTATATCATCTGGAGCTACCACTTTTTATAAAAGCACATGCTAAAAGATCATGTTCACTGTAATCTTGCAGCAACACTCGAACGATCACACAAAAACCAGGGAATGTTAGTGCACACACAAAATTAAGCTAAAGAAAAAGTCTTTGGAGTTCCAATCACACAGTTAGTATAACAATCCCATAATTGTGAAGACTAATTGTAAGCTTTTATAGTTGATTAAGTCACACAGTGCAAAGAAAGGTCCATTGACCCTTTTGGTAAAGGGAGGGCTGGAAGCCACAGAGTAAGTTCAATGGATAGTCCGTATATACATGTGATGAGGAACACCCAAACTCAATTTGTGCTCTTAGGTTGGTTATTCTGAATCCCGATGCACTTCTGAAGCATCAGCTCAGCAAATTGGGCAAGTACGGTTTGCCTTAAGCCATTTGTCAACACACTTGGCATGGAACTCGTGGTTACAGGGTAAGACTCTAAGTAGCTGCCTTGACTCAAAATCACACATGCACACTACACACAAGGTCTGTTCTGACTGGTGGTTGTTAGGATTGAACCTGTAAGAAGGAAGTTGTTCAATGTCAGCTTTTGTCAGTCCTCGAGGCTTTGCCTCTCCCAGACGCTCTGCCAGGTTTAACAGGGCCTCGTAATTTTCTACCTCTCCATCTTCCACGTCCAATTCAAAGCTGAAAGTTGGACCCACGGCAGGTGGCACTGGAAGCATTGATAATACGTATGGCAGCAAGCTGGGGTGGTAAGGGGGTGGTGGTATTGGCTGCTGGGATCGATGATATCTGCTGCGTCCAGTGAGCCTCCGAGGCATAAATGGAGGGTAAGGTACTCCAAAGGACACCTCTTGATGCAAAGGGTCATGTGTCAAGAATTGCAAAGGAGCTGATGGAGGTAAGGTTGGGGGATGAGCTGATGCAGGGTACGTAAAACCTCCAACGGGAAGATGTTCTCCTAAGAGTTCCACTTCGTTTTCTATCCTCTGCAGAGGCGATCGTGACTGCTGTGTCTGGAAGGGGACAAACTGGCCTGGTGGTGGCAAATGAGGAGGATGATGGGGAGAAAGGTGAGGAGGATGTATAAGAAATGGATCACTAGAAATAAGGGGTGGGAATGCAGCATATGGTACTGGTAAGTGCTGAACTGAACATGCCTGAAGCATTGGAGGAGGCACACTACAGACAGGGAGGTGCTGTCCACTGAAAACCACAGAGCATCCTGGGACCTGTTGCCTACTGCAAGCAGGGATGTGCTGGCCTGTGCAGAGGGGAATTCCGTGTGGTGCCACTGTTGTTACTGTACAGGAAACAGGGACGGTTCCTTGATGGAACTGATCATGTATATCAACCATTACTGCATTCTGTTGGGGTGGATGAGCGGCAGGATGTAACAGACGGGGAGATACATTCGGAGGGTGGAAGGCTCGAGGTTCCTCTATTGCTTGCTGCTGTGCATAAGGGAGATGGTGATAGTTTTCATCTTGACTAATGGAATTATGTCGAGATAGGCGATCTCTTCTTCCTCTCTGGCGCCTGACAGGAGGACTTCTTCTGTTGCATGCAGGTGTGTTGCATCGTTCCCCTGAGAAGTGATGTTGGCTTGGTCGAACTGAAGGGGGCTGCCTATTTGATGTCATCTCCCATGGTCGCATTGGTGGTGAGGGAGCTGGTGATGCTGATGTATAATCAAAGACTGAATGAGAGAGGCGCTGTCTCTTGGGACTTGGAATATCTTCACTCTGCGAGGGGAGGCTCCGCCCTGCGGGGCTGCTCCCGCGGCTCCTCTCTGGGCTGCCGCCTCCTATTGTGACCGCTTGCCCAGCCAGCGGCCAGCTCGCCAGATCCGCCGTCCCCGGGCCTCCTCACCCCCGGACCCCGGGCTCCGACTGAGGCGCTGTCACGGCGCTTCCTTCCTCCCGGCACCATCACACGCACGGGTCGCGCCAGGAAAGGACGACTGCATGCTCAGACCTGGCAGAATCGGCTAACGCCTAGGAGGCTCCATCCTCTCCGCCCCCGCGCCCTAACCGCCTGGCCTCGGCACGGTCCGCACCGCCGCTAGCTTGCTCCCTTTCAAAAATGTTCAGGCCAAGAAAGACAAGGCAGAGCCTAGAAGAGTTATTGATTCAAGGAGATTCAAAGAGCTGTGGCAGCACCAGGCATGGCTCAGGGTTGGATTCTGCGCTGGGGAACAACAGATAGATTTTTAATATGGCCTGCGGATTACACAACAGTATTAAATTAGTATCAAATTTTCCAATTTTGATAACTAGCAATAAAAGAGAATGATCTTGTTCTTTCTAAGACACACTGAAAATACCCATCGTGTCTTATTTCTCTATCTACCATATTTATCCATCAATCCAACCATGGAAAGAAAATGATAAATCAAACGGGGGCAAAATGGAATGAACTGATGACTCCAGGTGAGGAGAATATGGGAGTTCTGTGTGTGTTATTCTTATGAATTGTCTATAAAATAAAAATTATATAAAAATACTCAAAATAAGAAATTACAAATCCAAGTTACCCAGCAAAGAAAGCAGAATTACAAGCAGAGATTATGCAGGTCATGTACATTCTAGAAAGGGATTCTAATCCATAAAATGAAATGAAAATCAGTGAGTCAATTCTGTTACATATTGGAGGATAATATGGAAGATAAAACTATTGGGTAAAAGTTTATTGGAAAAAGGATATTTATTTAACTTCTCACAAGACGCTTATTGATAATACAAGAGAGATGTGAGAAGAGCTATTGGAAAGTCCTGAGATACATTAGTTTTGGGTGCAACAAGAGGGGAGGCAGTGAGGCCACCCAGTCTGGAAGGAGGTGATGTGGCTGCCGGGGGCAGTGGCATGGAACCTTAAGGTATAAAGGGACTTAGGAGGTTTAAGGGGAGGTCGAGGAGGCTGGACGTTATGACTCATTGCATGTGGGTAGAGAAGAAGAGGAAGGAGTGCGCCTTGAACAAGTGGGTGGATGGCATCTCCAAGGTGAATTCGCAGTTCTTGCCGCTTCCTCCTGTGTCAATGTGGCTCCGTCTTTCACAGACAGGGTGACCAGACCTGAATGTTCTGTCCCATGCTGTGTGTAAAGTCAGAATTGTAAAGAACAAACATCTCTAGTTTTTCCCTCTCGCAGATTCTATTTCCCAATTTATCCAACTAGTTAATGAGTCCCATGGTGACTCCAAAGTCCCTCCCCAATAGCACATGGATCTACACCTTCCTCTGCATCTGTTTTTGTCAAAACTGTAATATTCTTCCTTCCAGCCCCTTAGCTTCCTCCTCCTACCTTTCTCCTTCCCTTAACCCCTACATTCATCTCACGCAATAAGTTGATTAAAATGCAAATCCAGTCATGCTTTCCTTACCTTAGAAAGACCCCCAATTCTAATCTGGCCTTGCAAAAACTTCAACCACATGGTTTCTTCCAAGCCCCTACCGTTGTCTGCTCCTTCTACTCACTGTGCCCATGAAGCACAGTACTTGTGAACACCAGGCTTGAATCCCAGCTCTGATTCCCAATCACCGTGTCTCTTTGTGCAAGCTTTAAAAACAAAAGAGAATTGGGGAACTTATTTATTCACTTGGGAAATGGTAATGGTTACCATGTTTGTAATATTGTTATGAGGCTTAACTGAAGTTATGTTGGTAGCTCATTGCTTGGCATGTGAAGATTACCAATGCTCAAGATGCCCACAGGTCCTCAGTCTTCCCAGACATGGATCCATCCATGCTCTTTCTCGTCTAAGCCTTTGCAATCACTCTTAGCTGACAGATCCTGTTCATCTGTAAAGGCTCTGAGCAAATACCACTTCCTTTGGGAATCTTCTAGAATTCCCAAGCTCTGAGGAGATGTCCAGAAGAGCCATAGCATAATTGCATTGCTAATTCAATAAATGTTTTTCGGGAGTGTTCAGTGAGGAACCTGGAGATATATCACTGGAAGGAGTCTGTGTCCCCATGAACACATGTTCTAGTGCAGAAGGCAGAAAAGGAAGGAAACACACGGATGAATAAAAAGGTAATTGGAGAGAGTGCAAAGTTTCATCGCTTAGGGAATTAAACATGGTGATGTGCAAGGGAGAAGGACATCGTGTGGAGTCTACAGTGGATGAGGCCATCAGGAAAGACTTCCTTGAGATCATCAGTGAGCTGAGATCTGAATGGAGAAAAGAGCCCCCTGGGAAGCGCAAGAGGAATTATTCATGGCAGATCAAAGGATCTGCAATGAAAGTAGGCTCCTGTTGACCCAAGGACCAGAATGCATTGGAGCATTTTGAGCAAAGGGTAGAGAGGAATAAGTGAGGTTTCGAAGAAATAGTCAGGTGCTGGATTATCCATGCCTAGAGCCAAGACAGAGTCCCAGATTCACAAGTCTAATGACCTTGATGCTCCCCCCTCCCCTAGTCGAAAGAAAATTTCTGCTGGGAAACATGAAGAATGCTTCTTATTGGAAATAGAGAAACTTATGAGGGTCATTTTCTAAATATATTATTCTTATGCTTACTGCCAATACTAGGGATGTGACTAACGAAAGTCTTAATGAAAGTGTATTGAAGCCGGCGCCGTGGCTCAATAGGCTAATCCTCTACCTTGCGGCGCCGGCACACCGGGTTCTAGTCCTGGTTGGGGCGCCGGATTCTGTCCCGGTTGCCCCTCTTCCAGGCCAGCTCTCTGCTATGGCCAGGGAGTGCAGTGGAGGATGGCCCAGGTGCTTGGGCCCTGCACCCCATGGGAGACCAGGAAAAGCACCTGGATCCTGGCTCCTGTCATCGGATCAGCGCGGTGCGCCGGCTGCAGCGGCGGCCATTGGAGGGTGAACCAACGGCAAAGGAAGACCTTTCTCTCTGTCTCTCTCTCTCTCTCACTGTCCACTCTGCCTGTCAAAAATAAAAAAAAAATAAAAAAATAAAAAAAAAAGAAAGTGTATTGAGAAAAACATTTGTGCATCAAAAGCATTACTGTTTGTTTTACCTGCATTGGAAATACATAATCTATTTCAAAACAATGCAATATTGAAAGTTATGGTAAACAAACCTTATTTTGTGGTTACCTTTCTGACAGTCACAACGTAAATCAAGTCAAGATGCATATTTGGGTTATTTTCACATTTTGAGTGGATAATACTGCTATAAATATTTGTGTGCAAGTTTCAATGTGGACATATGTCTTCATCTCTCTTGGGTATATACCTGGGAGTGGAAGTTCTGGGTTATACAATAAACTCATGTTTAACTTTTTTGAGTAACTTCCAAACTATTTGCTCTGATGGCTGCACTATTTTGTATTCCCCAGTTATGTACAAAGATCCTTACTTCTCAACACTGTCATTTACATTTGTTTTTTTAATAAATAATTAAAATCATGATAGTGAGTAGGAGGCGATATTGTGGTTTTTTTATTTGCATTTCCTCACTGACAAAGGACGGTGAACATCTTTTCATATGCTTATTGGCTATTTGTATGTATTCTTTGGAGAAATGTCATTTCTCTGACCATTTAGAAAGCTGGGTGGTCTTTTGGTTCTTGAATTTTAAGAATTCTTTTTATATGCTGAGTAGTAAACTCTTAGGCAAATCCACAGCGAGAGAAAGCAGGTTAGAGATCACCAAGGAACAGGGAGAAGGGAGTGGGGAATGATTTCTTAGTGAGTATGGAATGCTTTAAGGATGATGAGAAGTCTTAAAACTACAGCTTGTGGTTGCACAGCGTTGTGAGATGGTAAATACCACTGAATGGTGCAGTTTACAAAGGTTAGTCGTGCTCTTGGATTTCACCTTAATTTAAAAAAATTCACGTAAAATTTAAGACCAAAATTTCTCAAAGATGGACAAGGGTTAAGCAAATAGCGCTACTATAAAGCAGTTATATACAAGTTTCTGTGTGGACTTACTGTGCCTGGGAATGGAAGAGTTTGATTAGGTAGTAAACTCATGGTGAACTCTTTTGAGGAAGTGCCAGATGTTTCCATAAAGAAGATTTACACACATTGAATCTTCTTACATGATGATATCATTTCTTTTGATAAATTTCTTTATCTTTTGTTGGCTTAATTAGCCCTCAGGCAGGAGAGTTTAATTACCACTTACAGGACACTTAGACGCCCCACCTGTAGTGAAAACAGATGTATCGACTTTCCTAATTTCCTACCTGCAAAACTTCTGTTCATTCTTTATGCCGTAGCTCCAATAAGGCTGAAAAAAATATATCTCTGACTAGCTTCTGCAGATACTGTGCTCTTAAACTCTTCTAGAATAACGATTTCAGTTTTGCATCAGGGTTAGTAGTAGGATAATTGATGTTAGCTGATTAAACAGAAAAATTGGAATATGAATGTTTCAGCTCAACTGAAATTTATTATTTCCTCTCTTTCAAGCTGATGCAAGTTTCTAAAAAAGATGGATTAATGGATAGACTGAAGGGTGGAAGAATGGATTGATGGACTGATACGTAAAAAACCAAATATAATAAAATGTTATTTATAGAATCAAGGTGATAAGTATATAGGTCTTCATTTCACAATTCCTATTTTTCCTTTTTTTAAAAAGAACCATAATAAATTGTCCGGTGGGGGGGGTGGTGGTGGGGAGAAGGTGATGTACATCAAAGTCGCTCCAATATTAGGTAGCTAACACATTAGAAAAAAGTAGACCCAAAATACATGACTATAGAATAAAGGAGTGATAGCAGTTCCACACCAACTGTTAACTGCCTTGGCCTGGAAGTGTTGCACATCACTTCTGTTCACAACTCACTGGTCACTTCAGAAATATGGCCCAGCCTACCACGGAAGTGAGGATAAGCACTCAGAACTTTGCCGAGTGTCAACATCTCTGCCACAGAGATCCAGTAATATATTTCCCCTTGTGAGTCTCAGCTGGGGCTGAAATACGGGCTATCAGAACCTGTTTGCTTCTGGCAGCTTGCAGAAGCAACGGTAAACATGGCTTGGGGTG